GAAGCTGAGAAAGGATCAGGGACAAGCACTGATGGCCCAGGCTCCCAATCCAGGCACTCCTGTGAAGGCCATGAGTGTGGCAGATCCAGCTGGAGGCTGGTGACAGCCCTCCTGTGTCTGCTGCCAGCAGCACCACACCCACTAGGGACAAGGCCAGCTCCCAGCACAGTGACACAAGGGCAGAAGGGACAATGTTAGAAGGGTTGGGAGGCTTTGGATGACGCCTCATCCTTCCTCCATCTCTCACACCAAGACAGCAGCAGCGAGCCAAACCTCAGGCAAGCGTACAAGGAGGGGCTTTCTCCTCTTTCTCCCACCAAGGTGCTGGAACCAAGTGAGGCCAACAGGGAGGAGATTGCTGCAGAGCAAGCACCCTTCACCTCCAGTCAGTTGTCAGGGTATTTCACATCCTGTCTTCCAGTTTTGGGAAGCAAGGCTCAATCTCCAGCAGCTGTGGCAGCTAACAGCCCCAGCAGCCCCTGCCTGCTCCGTGCCTTCCCAGGCCTGCGCCCTGTGATGCTTCTTCTGATGCCGAGATGCTGCTGGAGATGATCCCAATTAAAGAAGTGAGGCTGTCACAATTTCAGCTGCATGAGGGAGATGAGAAAATGAACGGTGTCACTGAGTGTCTGCAGGAACAAATTTACAAACCTAATCACCTCCCAGCATAGCCAGGCTGCCAGTGCCTGAAGAAGGGTGATAGGGGAGAAGAAAGCTTTTGGGACTCTTAAAGAATATAAATTTACCCTAATAGGAACTGGATCTATCCCTGCCTGTAATCAGCAGCAGAACTGAGATCCTGAACTGGAATATTAATACAAGTGCTCAATGTGAGATGAAAACCTCTCAAAATCTCTCTCAAATAATGAGAATTAAACATCAGAAGCACAGCACAGCAAACTGCAATGCAGTTGTGCTGTCGGGAGGAGTCTGCTGAAGGGGGAGCTTGAGAAATTCCATGGAAGATATGACTGGCTCCTGGCAGTGCCCAGGACAAAATACCCGTTCTGGCTGCTTCCTAGCATGCTGACTTTTCATTCCAGACACCCTCCCAAACTTGGGTGTGATCCCTGTTTCTCTTTACAAATATAGGATAATGAAATTTTTAATACAGGTTGATCAGGTGCATCCTCTGCACCTAAAGAAGACCAATACATGGGAACAGGAAAGAAGCTCTTATTGTAACATCTGCTGTATTTTGTTATTCTTTATTACTGCCGTTATGGTTTGGGGGGTGGGAAACATCTCTGATACTTCAGTGAGGTACTAAGTATTTGGGGTGTTCAGTTTAGGATATTGCATTACAAATGAGCAGCTTTTCCTGCAGATAAAGTTGATGGGGAACAGCTAACACTGAGAAGGGCACAGCTCCAGGACACAGCTTGGTGCTGAAGCCCAAGCTGCAGGCACACCTGCCTGTGGCAGAAGAGGGGCCTGGCAGAGTGATCACCCTGAGGAACATTCTGCAGCTGGTAGGCAGCTCTTGCAAGAGGCATTTCTGTTCTCTCATGTTTGCTTCCCTCCTTGGTGTGTCCATAGGGGTTGCAGAGCAGCAGAGCACCTCCAGCACACCGAGCCACTGCAGGGTGGGAGACAGCCCACAGCCAGCAGGCACTTGGCCAAATGGAAGCACATCATCCCCCAGGCTCCTTCCCAAGGCCAAGGGGGCACTCAGGCCATTCCTGTGCACCCTACCCTGTCCTCAGGAAGGTTCTGCTGCCAAGGCCTTCTCCCATGTTCCCTGACTCTGAGAGAGGGATGTGCCTTCCACACGTACCATATCAGGGCCATGAAGAATGAAGGAAAAAGGAGTTTTCACTTCCCTGAGGACAAAAGAAAGGTGCTGGAAAGCACCTTCTTTTGCAGGAAAACACCCTCTTGAGAAAGGGACAAAGAACATGCACAGGTTGGGCAGCTCCATCCCAGCTGAGCCATCCCTGCCCTAATATGTGCATGTCCCACCCCAGCTGGTCTGTCAGACTGGCATGACTCATATTTGGAGGCTTATTCAGCAAAATCCAGCAGCAGGACCTTACATCTTCACCACACAGGCCCAAACAGCTGCTGCAGAGCTGACTTTGTGTGAGAAGGTGCCAGGTAGGATGGGCAGGGAGCTCCAGGCTGCAATGGCCTCCCCTTCCTCCCTGAGCAGTGCCAGCAGCACCACGGGCACAGGGGGCTGCAGAGAACTCTCCTGACTGCCAGCCTACATGGAATGGTGGGAGGGAAGAGAAGGATGTGTGCCACACACACAGGGCACCACGGGGAGACCCCAGACCCTCTGTGCGCCTCTCACAGCCCAGACTCTCCTTTGGCTTCACTTTGGCTTCAGCAGAAGTTTCCTGTTCCTGATTAGAGGAAAGCAAAGCCTCAGGACCTCTGAGCTTCATGACTCACGCTGCAAGTGAGGCACAGAGAGAGACAGACATGACCTGGAATGCTCTGTATCTCCTCCTGCTCTGCCCTGCCAAAGCAAAGGTCCCACTCCTCTCCCCTCTCCCTGCCCTGCTCCATCATTTCTGTCCTAGAGTGGTCATTCAGTGCTCAGCTACTGATGAAAAGGGGCAATTCATAGCATTTTTTAGTAAAACATCGTAGCAAGCTTGTCAGTACAACATCAACTCTTCTTACACACAGCAGGTGCACAGTAACAACTGCACATGACATTGCACAGCATCAGTGACTGAGGCTGCCAAAAAACAATGAAACATGTTAAGGAGAACTCTATTTTCCCCTGTCACTTACATGACAGATCTCCTTAATTGACTACTTTGCTGTCAGAGAAAATTAATGAATGAGAGAGAAATGGGCTCTCTTGGTTATTAGTACCCCAATTGCTTTTGAATCTATCAGGTTAATTTCATGTAAATGAAAGTGAGGATTAAAAGCCCCAGTTGCTGGAAGGGTGGGGACAGGGGCTGAAGCTCCATGAGGAGCTCAGACACGCTGGGCCACGGCTGGCCTTGGAGATGTGATGGTGCAGAAAGGCAAAGCTGGGGAGAGGAGTGCAGCCAGACCCTGGCTGGGGCTGCTTGCAGGCAGCTCGCACCTTTCTGTCGGGGCAGCGGAGCCAGAGCAGCAGCATCGCCCACCGCCGGGAGAGGGACACACGGACACAGGGACACACGGACACACGGACACACCGCCGGGAGAGGGACACACGGACACAGGGACACACCGCCGGGAGAGGGACACACGGACACAGGGACACACCGCCGGGAGAGGGACACACGGACACAGGGACACACCGCCAGGGAAGGAGGGACACACGGACACAAGGACCCGCAGGGGAGATGCCGTGTGCGGGCACCAGGCGGAGCCGATGTGACAGGGACGGGCGGGACCGGCCCCGCAGCCCCCGCTGCCGCGACACACTGGGGACACATGGGGACACACTGGGGACACACTGGGGAGACACTGGGGACACATGGGGACACACTGGGGAGACATGGGGAAACACTGGGGACACATGGGGACACACTGGGGACACATGGGGAAACACTGGGGACACATGGGGACACACTGGGGACACACTGGGGACAGCCACTGCAGGTCTGTAACCCCGTGTTTAGAGAGCACTGCCCTGCCCTGAGCCCCCTCCCCTCCCCATGTGCCTCCAAGACCCCGCTCTCTCACACCACAGCAGGCCCACGGAGCCAGCCACCCTCGCAAGCTCCTCTTCCTACTGACCAGACATCTTCTCTAGCTCAGAAAAGCCCTGCCGAGTCTCTAGTGCTAGGAAAGATTAAATAATCACCCTGATGTAACAGATCACAGCGGGGTTCATTAGAAAGTCCACAGTTTTTGCGGAGCTTGTGAAAACCTGGCGGGTGTTTGTAAGTGTCCAGTCAATGGAGTGTCCTGTCCTGTTCTGTAGGTTTTGGTCCCCAAACTGAAGGGTTCATGAACATCACTTGGCAGGGCAGCACCAGCTGGGAGGGCCCAGAGAAGGCACTTCCCTATATCCCCTCCAGAATTCACATATATTTAAGGGAGAAAATACCTTCGTTGCACTGTTTGGAAGGTAAGTATGCTCAGATGTGGCTTCTCTTTGAATAATTTCACTCCTCCCTCATATTCTTCCTATCTCTTTCCCTCTGAAATTTATTTAATCCTACTTGAGAAAGAATACTGATCAAAATGGGAGTTATTTCAGCATCTGTTGATGCTGAATCATGACTTCATTTCTCCTGTCCTTTTTACTGTCAAGGATTTAGCAATTCCCTCCAAGACTCTTAACTGCTCTTGTCTTCTGTTAATTAAAAGCCAGCTAGGATTGCCTGCTAATTGCACACTGGTTTAGCAAAGCCTGGCCTGTTGCTGTGTTTATTTTAAGTGTCACATGAATAGGGAACAGCAGGTTTTACTGGCACTTTTCTTCAAGTGTTTTTTGCATGTACTGTGCTGAGTTGGGAAAAAGGTCTCGCTAGAAATATTTTTCTTGAGACATTTAAAAGAATATTCTTGTTTCAAATATTGCACAAAATTGGCAACATTGATAGATTTTAAATACCAACAACAGAGGAAACAAGGAACACAAAGGAAAACCAGCATAACCACTGTGACCACGCCAGTATACTTGTTCCAGTATGTCCTGGCAAGGGATGGTGAGTCCCCACGGTTTGGGGGCATCCAGCCGCTTGGGCAGCCCAGGCAAGCTGCACCTTCAAAACCCGTCTGAAGATGTCACTGTCTATTTTTTAGCATCTTAGGACAGCTGGAGGAGTCATATGGCTAATTCCTATTCAGTGCACAACATGCCCCTCACCTATTGTGTATTAAGAAAAAACAAAACAAAACAACAGCTTTCAGTAAATAGTGTTATTTTTCCCGCACCCTCCTTAGCGTCTCTCCATGGGAATTCAGTGTCTGCCTCAGTGACCCCTGGCGGGGTGCCACAGCTGCAGAGGTACACGCCGAGCAGCAGAGCTCACAGCACACCCAAAAGTGCTCCGCCGTCCTTCGGGAAGGGCGAGTCCATCTGGCACGTTCGGTTTCAGTCATATAAAGAATTCCTCCTCCTCGTCCTGTGCCGGGTGTGCGGGGCTGGTCCGCGATGCTCCGAGCTCCGCTTTGTCGCTCCCGGCCCCGGGGCGCGGCTGCTGCCGGGGGCTGCTCCGCAGGGCCCCGGGGAGACGGCTCAGCGGGCAGCGGCCGGGATTCCCCACGGCCAGCCCGGTGTCCACGTCGGTCTCTGGTGCCCGGGGCCGGCGGCTCTCCGGGAGAGGAGCCCGCGGCCCCCGGGCCCCCTGCCTGCCGAGAGAAGGCGCTTCCCAGCGCGGCCGGGCTGCTGCCGCACCGCGGGCACCGCAGGAGCGCCTCCGGAGGTCACCGCCGGCTTGCTCAGAGACAGCGACTTCACTGGGCTCAGGTTTTGCTTTACTCTTCAGAGCTCTGACCTCCTGGCTTCTCCGCCCAGGATTACCCTGTTTTCCAGGGAGAGGGACTGGCATACAGTCCTGCGTGATTTTTCCACTGCCTGTTACGTTGTGCTGCTGGGAAAGCCCGATGTTTCTTTCAAGGGTCCTGCAGCTGCTTTGAACCTGTAGAAAATTAGAGAGAAGCCAGTTATCACACAGTTCTGGCTTGAACAAGGATGATGCTCTTGCCCAGGCTCGCTGTGCCGGGGTCACCTGCAGCCCGAGTCGGTACGCCTGGGGAAGCCTGGGCCAAAGTAGGTTGTGGATACAAAAAAATCCACATGCATTCCAGAAGAACCTGGATAAACAGCTGGAAAGGAGAGCCACTGCCAGTTCCCACAAGGGGCTTCAGTGGGGAATGACAACTCCATGTGGAGTCCATGGGCAGAGCTTTGGATTTAGTTTGCAATATGGCAGAAGGTCGGTGCAGGGGGGTAAACTGCAGCTGTTTAGAAGAACGATTTACAATATGGGCTGGAGAGTTGCAGAATAAAGCACTAGGCTGTCAGCCTGCTGTCTGGAGCTTGGACACGAGACACATCCTCAAGTTCAAGTGGATTACACCTTCCCTTGCGAGGAGCACAGTGCAGCATGGTCACACCCCACAAAAAGCTTCCAAATTTCCAGCCGGTGAATTAATGTACATCTGTCAGCTCAAAGACCTTGTACCTACAGCAGGAAGTGCCACAGAGTAACTAGGAAGGGACCTTTGGAGGTCACCTGGCCCAGTCCCTTGCTCCAGGTAGAATCAGCTTCAAAGCAAGGTAAGATACCCAGAGCCTTCACCACTCCAAGAGGGTGCAAGTTTATAAATGGTTTATAAATTGTTTATAAATTGTTTATAAGTTGTTTATAAATTGACACTGAATGACCCAGCAAGGGCTACCCTAAGATTAGTGTTCAGAGCAGTATAAAAATAGGCTGAACCAAGTAATTAACTTTACCTGTAACAGAGGACTTCTGGAAGCAAAAAGAAAAAGCCAGGGCAAATAATTTAAAATCCAAATTACAAGAAAAAATAACCAGAAGTGGGAAGGGTTATTACAATGGAACGAAAGCACACTGAGCCAAACTGCCATTCACATGTATAAATCTATATTCACTACACATGATCTCAGCACAGACTTTGTCTTCTTTTTTAAATTTGTATTCATATAACCTCTGGAGAGCACACTTCAACAGAAAAGGCAGAGATTTCCTAGGACACATCCACAACTCACTTGTAATCTCACAACCTCAATTGCAGGTGGTGCTGTATCAACATTACACTTACAAAACTTTTGGTTTTGGATGTCAAAAATCTGCTTTGAGAAACATTTATACAGCAATGACTTATCAGAAAAAGATTAGGTTGCTACAATCATTTTTTTGAGGCAGAGGAGGGAAGATGTTAAGCTAGTGTGCCCTAGATAGCATTAATAATCTGCATTTCAGGCAAGCTGCAATGATGTTAATTTAACTGTATAAAAACATTCCAGGGATCAGTACTTTTATTTATCAACAGCATCACAGCACTGGCAGATGCCGATTACTGCATTCACAAATTCCAAATAAAACATGAACATGAAACAAAATCATAACTTCCATTTTGAACCAGTCCTGCTGTCCTTGGAAAAGAGTAGCTAAACCCTCCTCTTGAGAGCACCGCAGACATACCTTGAGCAGAATTGTATTTCCTTCATAGTCCTGTGTTTGCCACCTGGTGCTGCTGATAGGAACACAGGGGTTGGGAAGGAGGGGCACCAGCTGCCCGATTTCTTGCACCTTGAACTGCAAGGCTGACGAGTCTCTGGGCTCGGCGGCCACCCCGATGGGCAGCTGCTTCAGGCACAGCTGCACGGCCACGTGTGGGGTGGCGTGCAGCACGAAGACACACAAAGTGCTCTTCTGCAGAGTGGCTTCTTTCTGGAGGATCATCTCGTAGAGCCTGACTGCATCCTCGTAGTTGTCAAAGCTGCAGTAGAGGGTGACGCGCAGGATTTCGGGGCCGCGGTGCGCCCGCCTGACGCCCCACACGGGCAGCTGCTCATCCAGGCCATAGAAGTCCTGGTGGGATGGGGCATAGGGGGGGCTTTGCCCATCAGCAAACTGGGCCCGCTGGTACCGCCAGGGAGGGCGCTGGAACTGCTCGTGGACCTGGAAAATCCGTTCTTCTCCCAAGTCCTCGTGCAGAAAAAGGAGGATGGATATTCCAGGGAAGCTGCAGCTCCTCTTGCGGTACCTCTCGTAGTATTTCAGGGGGGGAATTCTCTCGGACACCAGGAAAAGGCGAACGTCCAGGTAGAGCCACTCCAAAAGGCGATCCAGAGTTTGCCGCAGAGGAAATGAGTGTCCCAAATGGGTGAGGAGATGCACGGTCATCAGAGACTCTGCTCCATCATCCATTGCGAAGGCTCCTGGCAAAAAATGAGACAAATCAGTGCTTTTGTTTGCTCTTTGTCTCAGGAACACAGGGGTGTACTCTTGAACACAATGAGCTCAGACTGCTACAGGCTTTGCAGTGACCTGATAAAACACATGGGTGAGCACAGGGAACGTGCAGAGGAGCAGGTGCAGAGTGACAAGGCTTTAAGCGAGCGGTCCCAGGTCACATCCCAGCGGAGCTCGGCTCCAGGCTCATTCCCAGCTCTGGAGCTCTCATCACCGAGGACATGCGACCCAAGTGTCCAGAAACAGCTCTGTGCCCTCCTGCTCCTGTCGTTCACCACACAGGACAGCAGAGATGCACAGCACTGGAACACCAGCAGTGATTTTCCAGGACAAGGCGATGCTCACTTGTCTCTTGGCAGTGGAAGCGGCCGCCCCAGACCCAGCCGAGTCCCTCCAGTGCAATCGCTGCTTTTGCAAAGCCCATGTGGCACTCACAGCTGAAACCCTCAGCAAATTTTCTCTTAGTCTTCAGGCTGGCTTTGGCTCATTGTAAAAAGCCTGTGATCTCTGTGAGTCCCACCCTTCTGGGGCACACAGATAAGCTTCTTTGAAAACAAGGAAGGAAAACAAAATAACAAAAGAAAAAACCCAACCATGTGAACGTAACAGATAACAATAAGGGCAGATATAAATCAGGAAAGAGGAGCTTTGGGAAAAAATCTCAACTCATAGTTACACCCCTTACAACAAAGGCAGCTTGCTGCCTAAGTGGAAACCAGGTCCTGGGTTATTGTACATAGCCCATAAAAGCTGGGTACCAGGCTTCCCATTTCCAGTGTCCTCTTTGCTTCTTTTTCATCCTGTATTCTTTTTTTTCCTGATGTACCCATGTAATCAGCAGCCTTAATCAAAATACAAGGTTTTTTTTTTTTCTTGCTTCTTGGGTTTACATATTGGGACCTAACTTTAGCTATAAGCTAAAATAGGAATGCTGAAAATACACTGCTTTCCAGGTCTCTTCCAGTGTCTGGACAATAAACCACACTTTCCCTTCATCTCCCTGTTTGCCAGCCCAGGAGCAACACAATACAGATCAAGCTAAACCCCCTTCCTATACAGAACAGCACCTACTGTAGCCAGTATTTAAATCAAAAGTGGGGCCTCTGGTGAGCTGTCCAGCTCCATCTAATTAAGAGCAGCGCATCTCTCTCTGCTGACATGCCAGCTTCCCTCTCAAGCAGCCAAGCACACAAAGCAGTGGTTCACTGCTAAGAAATCCCAATAATAAGTCTGTTAATCAAAATTCTGAACTATTCTTTTTAACATGACCCTAACTTTATATTCAATGAAGTAAAATCTCCAAGGTTAAAGTTACAAGCAGCGGTGCCTTGGTTTCCTTTAGGGAAATCCCTCTCACTGATAGAAACACACATTCATGTTTTAAAAGCTATAGTGACACCTATGTACAATAAAAATAAAGAAAGACTGTCTAGAAAATGAGGAAAAAACTTATTTTGCACTCACCTGCAACTCTTCAAGCAAGTAACTGCTGAGGGGAGGGAGACAAAAACAAAATCCAGCCTTCAGACAATTGCAAGAAGAAAGTGAAGAGCGCAAGTGCTCAAAAACATTGACATTCTCTAGATGAGCTCTGAACAACACAATTTCACTAAAATATGGAAAAGGAAATGATTCATCAACTCCTTGCTACAGGGCAGGGGCAGGCAGTCATCTGCCTTCCTGCCTGTGAAAAATAGGGCAATTTGCCTGTACAGGAAAGCACTGAAACGAATTAAGTTCATCAGGGCTTGGTTTGTAGCTGGAAGCAGCTCCCATGAGCAGGTTCCCCTATTCCCACCCCAGGTGAAGATCCCGTGGGCTGCTATGACCCCATGGCCCCTTCTCCCTGGGAGCAGGACCCCCTGCTGCACCTGCAAACTGCTCCTTCTCAGGGCAGTGAAGAGCAAAGGGGACCCAGCACTGCTTTCCTCATGCAGTGCCATCACTGCTGGCTTGTGCAGCTCTCAGCCCCATCCCTGCTCCAATCTGCTGGACAAAACCCCATGGGCAGCTGCAGCAATGGTGGTGAAGGTGACAGAGGACTGGGGACATGAATTCTTGCACAGCAGTTGCGGAGGGGAAGGGCTGGTTAGGGAATGATGCCAAAACCTTGTCCCTTTCCAGCTCCTGCTGTGGCCAAGGGGAGCCAAATTGTTTTCCAGACGGGCAGGTGCCTCCCATAGAGGCTGCTGAAGGTGTGCAGCATCTCTCTTGTTTTTACAACAGCCAAAAACCTGAGCCTTACCCACAAAATGGGTTAAATCCTGAACCCTCTGCTGTGTGCTTCTTCTGTGCTTGCTGGGGTGAGACAAGGAAACAATCTCAGCTCTGAAACTCTACCTGATGAAGCTGCCTGGAGAACAGTCTTAGGCCTGGTTCTCAGCTCTTCAGCAGCTCTGGGGCAGGAGAACCCACCAATCCTCCTACAAGGGAGAGATGAGCTGAACATCAGCCTGCTCTCAGAGGAGAGCAGCCCCTCCAACCAGCCAAACACTTCCATTCCTCTTCCACTTGCTCTGACAGTTAATATCCTTGGGGGCAGGCTCAATCCAGGCTCCCCAGCCTCAGACAAGGGTATTATCTTCATGCCCTCTCTTTGTCTCATCTATTGCCCCCCCCAAACCTTGGCATTAAGCCTGGGTGCAATGGCCCTCAGCCTGCTGAGCTGAGATCCTTCATCCAGTGCTGGTATCAGGGAAAAGGGATGGCTGCCACCAGAACAAAGTGCTGGCTTTTGCTGGATCTTCTGAGAAAAGCAAAGGGTTGATTTCACTCCAGTCCCTGAAGGGAACGAGTACTTGCCTTCCTCTCTGCTTCCCCTTCCCCCAGCTTTGCAGTCTGGCTGCCAAACGGAAAAGCACATTTTTCATAGTGACCTACTGAACGTGCCAAGAAAGATTTCTTCAAGAGATTAGAAAAATAGCAGTTCAATCTTACATGGAAAGTTGCTTTGCTGAGGGGAGGAGGGGTGAACAGTTCTGATATGGGACTCAAAAGAATTGGGGCCCCATTCCCAGATGGCAGTGACTGGTAACACAGCAGAATGTACAGGAAGCTGCTGGGGCACCCCAGCTGTGTGTAAGAGCAGGACAAATGTGAACATTTGCATTCAGCACTAATGCATACACTGGTAAACCCTCCACAAATTAAAGTCCAAACATAAACAACTAATAAACACTTTATGGTGTGAAGCCTCAGAGAATACTGTCTGCTGTAAGCCTAAAATTTTACAGTGGAAAGCCACAGCACAACAATTAAAAATTCTTTTTCATAATCAATTCCTGAGTTGTGCGTAGTCCTCTGTACTGGTCAGAGCCCTTTGCTCCAGCTGACACCACCAAAATTGATGATGCATCACAGGATTTAATAAGTTCAGAGCAACATCTGTAAGGAAGGTACTTTACAAGGATTATTAGAATTTAATTAACTTGAGAGAGACTGAGTATGTATTACCTAAGCACCTTGGGAGAAGGCCTCATTAAATACATGACTCAGGCTTCCTAATTTCATTAAAAACATTTTTTTTTGTTTTACACCAATCTCAAGCTCTGTTTATAACGAGGACAAAACTACTAAATTAACCTGCTAGATGACAATTACATACAGCATACACAGTACTGAGATAAAAATCAAGATTAAGGCCTTATTTGAATACAGAAGTCTTTTCAGAGGTTGTTTCTGGCTTCAAACCCCGTGACTCCAATTCATCACCACTTTGGACCCAATGACCAAAAGAGCAAAACCCCATCTAACCTACTGCATTTATTTAAGCAGACTTCTTTCCCAAACGATTCTTGTTTCTTCTTTTTAGCCAGGATCAGGAAGCAGTAATCCAGCAAAGGTCTGTCAGCAGGCAGGACACACAGAGAGCTCCCCACACTGAGTCAGGGTTCAAGCCCATCGAGGAGGGAAGGGGAAGCTGCAGGGAGCAGGGGGAGCAGTCTGGGGCTGCAGCAGCAGTGCAGCCCCAGCACTGGGACACGCTGCTCCTGCGGGAGCTGCTGGCACTAGGGAGAGCTCCAAGGCTCATGGCAGGTAAAATGGGAAGCGAGAGAGGCTCCTCTGAGCCACGGCTCCTGGGCAGCAGGGATCCTTGGCACTCCAGCTGCCAGAGGGACACCCAGGATGAAATCCCATCTTCCCTGTGCGCCTGGTGACTGCAGTAACGAGGGTAAAGCAAAGTTATCCTCAGGTGACACAGGTTTTGGGGCGAGGGCAAGGCTGAGAGAGCAGCGCTGAGACACAGAGATGAGCTTCCTAGTAGTAACAGATATGTTGTAGAAAGGCAGTGCATGGCCTTGGCTGGCTTTTGTACTCATCTCTCACCAAATGTGGGTTATGCGTCCTCAGCCAGGCACTTGCAGAAGTTCCATTTTTCCTCAGTTTTCATTTTGTCTAAAATATTTAAAAAAAAATCCAAAACACTTCATGCACCCAAACCAAGACCCACTAAAGGTAATGAGCCAACTGGAGGTTACAGCAGAAGCAAGTGTTTGGTAACAAAGATCACAGAATGGCTCAGGTTGGAAAGGGACCACCATGGGGCATCTGGTCTGACCTCGCTGCTCGGGCAGGACCATCCCAGAGCACATGGCACAGGATTGTGCCCAGACATTTCTGGAATATCTCCAGTGAGGGCAGACTCCACACCTTCTCTGGGCAACCTGATCCAGTGCTCAGACACTGCACAGGGAAGTCCTGATCCAGTGCTCAGTCACTGCACAGGGAAGTTCTTCCTCAGGTACAGGTGGAACTTCTTGGGCATCAGTTTCTGCCATTCCCTCTTGTCCTACTGCTTCACAGCACAGAGCAGAGCCTGCTCTGTTCTCTTGGCACCCTCCCTTCAGTCCCTTATTGACATTGATCAGCTCTCAGCCTTCTTGAGATGAACAAGCCCAACTCTCTCCGCTTTTCTGTCTTGACTTCAAAGAGCCAACATTTAGCGCTGACCCAAGACGGTATTTTCTGGATCCCTCTGCCCACATGCACAGTGTCAATCCATTTACACAGGTCAGAGTGGGACAAGGGGGAAGTCAGCCTGCTAGATGTGAATTTAAGTGCCCAGCTTCAGGGATTCATTTCTGAAAGATTTAACACAGCAATTTTTATATAAGTTACACTTCAATTAAAAATCTTCCAGAAAAAGAAAACAGGCAGATCTAAACAAACCCAAGATTTGCAGGTCCAGTGAAGTGTTTGTTTAATCAGCTTACATTTAGCATTGTTGAAGGCAACTGAAAGCAGAATTCTTGGAAGGCCAGCAGCAGTGCTGGGCATGCCTGCACCCTGCCGAGTGCTAATAAGAGTGAGTCCCCAGGAGATGGTGACCTTGCCAGTGAGGCCAAGCTCCAGCTTAAGGAACAACTCAGACCCACACACTGTGAAGGCTTCTAATTACTCCCTTTTCTGAAGACAGCCTTCCTGAGATAC